GGATAATCTCTTGAGTAGCTCAGCTCCTTTTCTTAATATCTTGGAAGCTACATCAAGTGCCTACAGAAAAACTCATGATAATATTAAATGTACATGTACATACACAATGTGTACACATTCATTAACTATCAATCTAATAAAGACAAAGCTCACTAAAAGAACTGCTATTGATCTGTGTACTTAATTGTATTAAACACAATACAGGTAAAGAAATAGTACATTCACACTATGGCCAATACTATGTCTTTATAATCTTCTATATTGAGGTACATGTATTGTGCATGCATAACTAAGTAAAGTAACTAATCATGAGGCTAACCTTCTTTTTAATTTGGTATTGATATGAAGGAGGTAATGTGTATTTCTTATTAACATAAACTGGATCCAGTGACAAGTATTGATGATGATTATGAACAATTTGTAACACCTCAAACAGTACACTAACTTCAGTCAATGCTTGCCTGCAATAAACATAAAACTAATAATAAAGTTTAACTATCCTTTATGTATGCAATACATTGATACATGATTTATACTCTTGTTTATACAAATACCTGTATTTATGTACTTGAGTTTTGAGTAAGTGAATTCCCATGGCCAGCGATGACTTGGTTTCTTAGTTGTAGGACCAGAAACTCCCTCCCCCTCCTCCTCCTCTTGTTTCTTCTTTCCTTCTTCTCTGTCATTATCATCATCAGCTCTCTCTTCTCTAAAGTCAACATGTTGAGCTAATTCACTTAGTTTCTGAGAGAAGGTCTACAAATAAATACATAATATATTTAATGGCAAACTACAGTGTCATTTGCATGTTACAAGTACCTATTGTAATGCTATTAATTACCTTAAGGAGACAATAATTATTAGTGTGGACTTATTTTAGCAATTTTCATGATACTGACATTTGGCTGGTTTTTAAGTTTGCGTTCTTTATACCAATTAATATTAATAACTATTAATAATATGATCAGACATTAAAAGTTAGCACAGACTAAAGGTAGTGATTCCTTTAACATCGCTAAAATTTGCTAAATTAAATACCCACTAACAATTGTCTCCTTAAAGGGTATCTTTACCAAAAATTAACATATTAATTTTTCGGTCTTAATATGATTACCTTACCATAATAATAATGTGTTCCAAATCCCACTGTCTAAAAATAATTATTTACTGAGATATGAGCCTTCAAAGTCATGAAAATTTTAGACATTTTGCTTCCTGCAATGTTACTTCCTGTCGGTGGGTGTGGCTAAACGTGACATCACAGTAGGAACTAATGCAGATAACTCCATTCCTTTATAGGGGG